CACTACCCCTGTGTTCCTGAGCCCAGACCAGGAATCCCATCCTGACAGTCACTTACCTGCACAGACTGCTGAGGTCCATTGTGTCCCCGGAACCCTAAGCTGAAAGCTCCTGAGATTTAACTGGCTCCAAGTGAAAATGTGCATATATAGTTCTCATGGGGGCGATGACTGAATGATGACCTATAGCCTCCACTTCTGTGGATCAGCCTGGTTCTCTTTTCTGCCACCCTCTCCTCACTCAGCTGGTTCCCCTCCCTCCTCATCACTGTCAGAGCTGCCTCACTTTCCTCCCTCCATGCTTCTTTGTCTTTCCCTGTCCGATTGTTCATTTCTGGTCTTGGCCAGTCTCCCCTCTCTCACTTCTCTTCTGCCTGTCTCTTTCTCCTTCTCTCTCTCTCTCTATTTTTAATTTTTATTTTTTTGAGATAGAGTCTCACTTTGTCACCCAGACTGGAGTGTAATGGTGCGATCTCAGCTAACTGCAACCTCTGCCTCCCGAGTTCAAGCAATTCTCCTGCCTCAACCTCCTGAGTAGCTGGGAATACAGGTGTGCACCACCACTCCCGGTTAATTTTTGTAGTTTTAGTAGAGACGGATTCTTGCCATGTTGGCCAGGCTGGTCTCGAACACCTAACCTCAAGTGATACACCTGCCTTGGCCTCCCAAAGTGCTGGGATTACAGGCGTGAGCCACTGTGCCCAACTCTCCTTGTCTCTCTCTCTCTCTTTTTTTTTTTTTGAGATGGAGTCTCACTTTGTCCCCCAGGCTGGCATGCAATGGTGAGCTCTCGGCTCACTGCAACCTCCGCCTCCTGGGTTCAAGCAAGTCTCCTGCCTCAGCCTCCCAAGTAGCTGGGATTACGGGTGTGCACCACCACGCCTAGCTAATTTTTGTATTTTTAAGTAAAGACCAGGTTTCACCATGGTTGGTCAGGCTGGTCTCGAACCCCTGACCTTGTGATTCACCCATCTCAGCCTCCCAAAGTGCTGGGATTACAGGTGTGAGCCACCACAGCGGCTTCTCCTTGTCTCTTAATGCTTGACTCTTCTCTACTGTGTCCCCTGCTGTGCATCTGCCTGTTTCCACTCCCTGGATATCGGGCCATCTATCTGTCTTCCAGCTGCCTTCACTCTATCCTTGGTTACCTGGGCTGTCCAGTATGGAGCCTGGCACCTCCTTCCCATCAGAGTGAGAGGACCCCTCTGTAGCAGAGCAGCCTTAAAGACCCCCATCCATGGCTCTTTCACATTCTCTGAGCCTCCTCCTGGATCCCTTTGCACCTTGGGGTCCCTTTGCCTAACCCAGGAGGCTGGAATCCTCAGAGCCACATGGGCAGGGTGGCTGGCTGCTGCCCCGAGGACCAGGTCCCAGCAGCCTCCCTTAATGAGCACGCCTTTGGTGACACATTCATTATTCCTGTTCGGTCGCTTTGAGTCAAAACTGATTAGTTACACTTACTGCTGCAAAGATGTAATGATTTTATTGTTTATCTTCAATTTATTTTGATTAACATCTCCGTTCTTTTCATTGCAAGTGCAATTAGGTGCAATCTAACAGCGACTACTTTAATTTTGTTGAAATTAAGATGAATAAGTGATGGCTTATGGTGCTTTGTTTAACAAATAAATCATAGTTAAGAGGAGTGTATTAGTAATAAATGAAAAAAGACAGCTTAATTAAAATGCATGGAGCCGGCCTCTTGATGTACATCCAAAATCCAAATCTGAATTCCAAAAATCAGAGGGAGCTGAGGGTTAGGAAGATCCTCGCTGCCTCTCGAAATAGCGATCAGAGGACACAGACAGCGTGGGTCGGTTTTGAGACTGCTGTGCAGAGAAGAGCAAGGAGTACCACCACCATCCTCATGAGGTGGCCGCATCTTGTCCACAAAAGCCACGAGGAACCCAGGTAGAAACAGACTTGGGAGGATACAAGAAGAGAGGCCTATCCCCCACAAGGGGAACTGGCTACTAAGCCCACACCCTGAGTTCTCCCTGGGACCGGGCTTTGGGCAGGGAGCAGGGTCCCCTACCCCTACATCTGAGGATCAGCCCATTTGCCCTATTGAGAAGCCCATTGCCAAGCCCAAAACCTTAGGGCAAGTCTCACAGTGTGATCTCCTCCCTGCTGGGCTGAGAGGGACTTCCCCGTCTCTTGATTTGGAAACAAAGTGCAAAAAGTCAGCCCTGGAAAGTTTCCCGTGTGAAGTTTAAAAGCGCCTGTGCTGAAGAGGCCGGCTTTGAAGCAGCTCGCCGGGGCCCCTCGGCAGGCTCCTGCGAGTCAGAGGGCCGTACTCGCCTCAGATCCGCCGCGCCTGCCTCCGCAGGGCTGGGAAATGGGAATTGTTTTTTAAGTTGAAAAATTACTCGTGGAGCTCACTCCTTTGCCACTGCTCTTCTTTTGTTCTAAGTCGTTGCCTTCCTCTGCCTTCTCCTCCTCTTTTGCTTTCTCCTTTTAGTAAAGAGGAGCAGGCGGACTGGGGTTCAAATCCGAGTGCAGGCTCTTACTGACTGTGTGGCTGTGTGACCTCAGGCCTGTGATGCAACTCCTCTGGACCCTAGGGCTTTAACAGAAAAGTGGGGCCAATGGTGCCCTTGAGGCGGGGCGCTGCCGAGGCTGGCCCAGGGAACTGCACAGAAGTGCCCAGAACCCGCCTGGCAGGGAGGAGGAGCACCAGCTCCCTCCCCCTCCAAACCCTTTGCCTCCTCCTCCTCACAGAGCTTCAGAGGCAGGTCTCCTCCCCCTTTCCCGTGGCCCTCTGAACTCCTACTGAGCCTTCATCCTTCTGTGTTTAAACTCCACTTTTCTTTTTCATCCTCCAAATATGTGTTTCAGAGTGTCTGCCTTGGTGCCAGGCACAGTGCCACACCCTGGCGACAGAGCCAGATGAGCAAATGCAGGATGGACCTGCCCTCCAAGAGCTTCCAGCCCCATGCCTCAGGTGCCCCATGGGACTCCTTCATCATAGTCATCACAGCCTATGTGCTCAAAAGTGACTTCCCAGAAAGAGTGCTTTGTGAAGACAGGGGTCATGCCCAGCATAGAGCCTGGCATAAAGCAAGGGCGCAGAGTCCGAGGAGGATGCCTCCTGTGGGCCTGACCTTAAGGGCACAGAGAGAAGCCAAGCCTGGCTGTGTGCTCTCAGAAAGGCCACCCTCGAGTGAAGGCATGGATGCGGGCAATGGCACTTTTGGGTGCACAGTGCTGGGACATAGCATAGGAGGGGACAAAAGAGATGGCAGCCCCCAAGAATAACCAAAGGCAGAGGATGAGTCTGCACGCTGGGCCTGGCTTCTTCCTTCCAGCTCAGAAAAGGGGAATCCGGACTCCTGCGGTTGAGGGTTCATGAGAGCAGTTTGTCTGCGCTGAGGCCCGGACTTCCCAGCACAGTCTACGAGACGCCACGTGCCCACGCCGGGCCCCGCCCACCTCTGCAGGCTCATCCCGCTCTCCACGCCCCACCAGCCACCCTGGCTTTCCTGCTGGCCTTGCTCCCTCCTGCCAGGAACACTCTCCCTCTACCATCCCTTTTAGCTTCCTGCCTACTTCCTACCAACTGCAATCCTGGTGCCCCAACGGACTTCAGGTCTCAGCTTCAATGTCATCACACTTTGGGAAAGCCCTTCCTGAGCCCCAGGCCAGGTCATTTTCCCTGGATATCTGGTCTCATCCTGTTCTCCACATTCCATGTCACTTGTCTAACTGTCATGAAATGATGTGATTGCTGTCCAGTCTGTCTCCCACCTAGAGAGCAAGTTGCATGAAGGCAGAGACCATGCCTGCCTCGTGAATTGCTTGAAGAAAAGCGGGACAGAATAAATAGCCTATGGGCTGGGCACTTTATGGATACCACGAATGATGCTAATGGCAATCCTGAAACGGAGATGGTTATTGCTCCCATTTCACAGATGAAGAAATTGAAACTTGACGCAGTGTGACATGCCCTAAGCAAGTGGTCTTGAACTCACATCTGTCTGACTGTGAAGCCACACTCAGTCTGGGAAACATCCTTGAAGCTTAAAAGCCAATCACTGTGTGGTGGGAATCGGGAAGGAAGGAGGGAGGATAGATTTTTCTCCTGCTTGGGTCTAAGGACAGGGAGGGGAGCATTGCCCCTCTGTTTGGTGTCAACCAGGAAGGAACCAGCAGGTGACAGGGCCTATCAGCTCCAGCTCCCAGTTGTGCCCAGTCAAAACCTGGGAACGGGGAAAAGAAACCACAGTCACTTCTCAGAAGGGGCTATAGGGACCCTGGAGGAAACCACCATTGATGTTTCCCGGGAACCTGGCCTCTGGTGCTTGTCCTCGAGGCTGAGGAAAGGTGTTTGGTGGGGCACACATGGCACCCAGCGAGTTCTGGCACCCAGTCGCCAGGCAGAGCCACAGTGACCGCTGCATTTGAGGAGGCGTGAATGTCAACAGGAGACCAGAGGCAGGGGGCACCTCCTGCGTCCCGCACCCCCACCCTACCTAGAGGCGCTCATCAACTCCTTTAGAGTTAAGGAAACTGCAGCCCCGGCGGGGAGTGACCTGTCCGAGGTCTCAGAGCAGGGATATGGCTGCAGCTGCATTCTGGGGGCCGCTGTTCCTAGGAGAGACAGAGAAAGAGACAGCGAGTCCCCCTGAGCAAGGCAAGAAAAGGGGGAGAGTGAGGGGAGTAGAAGGACGCCGGAGAGGGAGGGAGGAAGTGGTGAGAGCAGCCGAGGAGAGAGGGGTAAGAGAGAAAAAGAGAGAGGCAGTGAGGAAGAGAGCCGGGGACAGCCGGAGAGGCCGGGAGAGGCGAGGAAGAGGGCAGAGAAACGCCAAAGAGACCGGGAGATGGAGAGAGACTGGGGCAGGCAGGCGGGGACGGCCGGGGGGACAAGCCGCCGAAGCTGGTGACAGCCACGGAGCGGGGGGTGGGGGGCGCTGAGCGCGAGCGGGCGCGGGACGGCGGCGGGCGGGGCGGGGAGGCCGGGGACGCGGGGGACGCGGGGGACGCCGCGCCGCCCCCTCCCGGCGCTCGCCACCGCCCCCGCCCCCGCCCCCGGTAGCACGCGCCCGCAGCCTAATGACCGCAGCCAGCCCGCGCCGCGGCCCGCGCCCACTCCAGGCGGCCGGCAGCTGGCAGTGCGGGGCGAGCGGGGAGCCGCGCGCCGCAGCCCTGGTGGCAGCTCCCGGCGCCCGGCCGGCCTTGATTGATTTGTCAGCGGAGGGGAGAAAACGGCCCCTCTGATCCTCGCGCTCAGTCCTCGGCTCCCCGGGCGCCGGGCCTCCCTCCCGCGCGCCTAGCCCTGCTCCGGGCGGGCCCCGCAGGCTGGAGCGCCCGGCCGACCCCAGGAGGGAGACCCCCGCCCCCCGGCCCGGGGCCCGGCGCCCCTCCCTGGCCCCGCACGCCGCGCACCTCCTCCAGCTCGGCCCGGCCCTCCCTCTGGCCCTGGGGCTCCCGACGCCTCCCTCGCCCCCGCTGGGCACCGTGCCGGCCCCCCCAGCCCTCACCCTGCCGCTCCCCCCTAGCCCGGCACCCTCGCCCCCAGCCCCCCGGCCCTGGCCCGGGGCCGCCCGCAGAGCGGGCCACACCCGCTGCGGAGGACTCGCTAAGGTAAGGAGGCGCCTCGGCGCGCCCCGGGGGCCTAGAGGGCGGCGCGGGGTGCGTGCAGGGCCCCGGCAGGCACCCGCGGACCCGAACCGGGAACCGCCGCTGCCTCCGAGCCGGGAGCAGGCAAGGGCCCCGTCGGGGCCTGGAGGGCTTTAGGGCTTTGGGTGAGTTGGGCTTGTCAAAGGGAGGACCCGGTGGGAAGTGGCCGGCAGTTGCGGCTCTGTCCGGAGCGTGGGGGAGTCTCTATCTCAGGTACAGAGATCTTCTGTGTAGAAGATGTTTTCTCTTTTTTAGGAATTATCTTCCTCTGTCACTATCCTCTTCGAATCCCTAAAAATTTATAGTCATCATTTTCCTGTGTCTCTTTGGAGGAATCACCTCTTTGCCTCCCTTCTCAAACAGGAGTCTTTTTCCCATTCCTCTTCCCCAATTAAGCACATCCTTTCCCTCCTCCAATTGAGAAGGCTTTCTTCCTCTTTCTCACTCCCCAGTTTAAAAGAAAATTCTCTGTCCCCTCAATCGGCAACCACCTTCTCTGGCTCACTTTCCAGTTTTCAAGGCTAGACCCATTTCTGTGCTGCCCTTCGCCCCGGTAATCCTGGCTGTGCAGATCAAGTTGTCTACAGCTGGAGGGGTCTACCTTGCGTTTTTTCTAGTGCAGGGGCCAGCTATGGGGACTCCTCACCCAAAGCGGGGTACCAGCAATCCCTGGCAGCCCGCAGGAAGGGGGCAGCTGCCCAGCCGCAGCCCAGGTGCATGGGGCATTTTTTCCATGGGGCAAGGAGGGAAGACTTTACTCTGAAACAAAGAATTGAGACCAACCGAGACTGTCCCAGCCTCTTCCAAGGCAGAGGAATCCCAGCTTCTGGACTGAGGGGCTACATCTATCTCCCTCCCCCACCTCTTTAACTTTAAAATAGTTTAATGAACACAGAGAGAGAAATCATTTTTTTTTTTTTTTCTGCGTGGTGAGCAGTCTACAAAGAGAAATGGGAAAGGAGGGAGAGAGCTTTAACTCTGATCCCCACAATTAGTTCCCTGGGATTGTTGGGGGGGGGGTGGCAACCCGGGAGCCTCAGTTCTTCAGATACAAAAGCATTTAGATCGCTTTAGACCGGTTAATCCTGAGTCTGGCTCGGGTCTCTTTTGTTTCCCAACTCCATTGTGGGTTTTGTGCAGTTTCTCTCTGTTCGAGTGATTGACTAGCCAATAGATGGTAATTATCCAAATGTCCCCTCTGTCCTTTGACTGACTTCTCTGTATTATGGGCAACTGTCATGCATTCTGTCATTCCATATCATATTACACATATTATCATATGAAGTCTTCCCCCACCCTTTAAAGGAGGGAGCCTCAGCCCAGATGCTGCTGCTTTTAGAAGGAAGGGCCCCGAATAATTTGTGCGGGGCACAGTTCGGAATACAGAGCAGGGACTCCCGAGATGGGAGGTTCTGCAGGTAATTTGTTTTGCTGGCTGGGGGGTGGGGGTGGTCTCTGAGGTTGGGGTTATAAGGACTGTGCTGGGGGCTTAGAGTAGGCTTGTGCCAGCTCATATTCCTCTGGCCAGGATCTTGGAATACTTTGGATGGATCTGGGATCCCTTCTGGAGAAACTTGGAATTTGTTTTTTTGACCCCAGAAAAATCTGCAGGATCTGGTCCTTTGGGGGTAATTAGATTTTAGCGACACATGCTCAAGACAACAACCCCAAACTATCTCTTCTACCTGTGGCCCTTCACAGGATAAGTCCTTTGGACTCTTGCCCCGGTTTGCTGCCAAGCAGGCTGGGGATGGAGGAGCCAGCTGTGTCTGTTTCAAACCCCCACAAGCTGATGCTGAAGCTCTGAGAAGGGACAGGCTTTTCCAGTGATGTTTTTGCACAGATAAACTTAGTGCCCCTTGGTGCAATTGTGCTTGCCATCACTTAAGAGGGAAGCAGGATTTATAACAAGGAGGTTTTGCAGACAGAGACTCTGGGGTCCTCTGAATCTGTGGGCAGGACTAGCCTTTCTACTGCTAAAATGTGAAAAAAGTGTTTTATTATTGCTATGGATATGAAGTGCCGCCCAGATGTACAGCCTCGCAGGCAGTTAATTACCTTGTTCTTCATCAAATATATGAGCAATAAATTCTCCGGAGGGGGGGAGGAGAGAGAGAGAGAGAGAGAGAGAGAGAGAGAGAGAGAGAGAGAGAGAGAGGATAAATAGATGGATAGATAGATAAATGCAGAAGAGAGAGAAACTCACACTCTTTTAAGACCACAGAAAGAGACAGACTATTTTATGGGAAGCTTGATACATTGCTGCAAGATGCTTTGAATTTTTCAATGATCAAATATACATGATCAAGCTGTGCATGTTAGGGTGTGAGGTGCTCAGACGGTCAATGGCTATTGATCAGGCTGTTAAGTATTTCTGTTCAGTTTTATAAATATAGATGGATCCCAAATGATTTAAACAATTGGATAGTTAAGAAACTAGCCTTCTACCTTTCTTTGGAGAAGGGCAAATGGCTGGTCAGGTACATAAACTCCAACGATCGTTCACCCCCATACTTCCTCCCTGCCCCCAAAATACCTTGGAAAATTCGAAGCTCATTTTCAAGAGTATTCAAAAATAGAGTAAAAATATTCCAAATGTTTTGTTTGGGATCTTCTAATATTAGTCACCTTACCTGAGCTTAGCTTCATTCACAGGCTGGGAGTTTACCTCTCTCTTTCTCTCTCTCTCTCTCTCTCTCTCTCTCTCTCTCTCTCTCTCTCTCTCTCTCACACACACACACACACACACACACACACAATTTAGACCCAGACTGCCAGAGAGATGGGGAGGGTGCCATTTCTAGGAGTGAGATCTAAGGTCCCTAAAACCCTTCTAGTTAGGAACCTGGTAAACCAACCACATGACCCTTCCCAATGAACTAATTTCTCACTAATCTAAGGATCTATTTAGAAAGGTGTGGAGGGGTGAACGATGGAGATTTAAAGGTAACCTCTAATTGGTCTGGAAAAATTCAGCTGATGACACCTTGAAAATCTCTCTGTTCCTTCTTCATTCTTTCCCCCCAACTCCCTTTTCTATTTTTCTCTGATATTACCTTCTAGAAATTAAAAGTAGATTTGAAAGAAAAGGGCAAGGAAAAACAGTAGGGGGGGGAGAGAAAGAGAACTTTTTATTTTTATTTTTTGTAGTGCATGGCAATTAATTATAACCACCCAATTAGCTATTCTGTATTTTGTAAAAGGATTCAAGTAATCAGCCTTCTCTCAGATTGGTAAAACTTAAGCATACAGACAATTGATAGTTATGTTTTGTTTCCACATCTTAAAAAAAAACAAAGTGTAGATTTTAGATTTTTCTATCTGCAGACCAGTCTTTTCCAGCTAAGTGCCCCTCACCCAAGGAGCTGAGGCGTCCCTATTGATAAAACCCCCTGGAAGTTGAACAAAAATTGGCATCCCTCAAAAAAGTTGATCCACCTAGAAACGGATGAATCAGTCCTGATTGGGTGGACATGCCCTTTCACCTCATTGTGTCTGACCTATCACTTAATTAATCTCTCCCAGAGCAGAGCTGTTGACAATACCGAAGATAAGCGGTATTTTGAACAAAGCAGGAAGCTTTTAAAAGAACAAGCCACAGTGAGGTTTGAGGCTCTTAAAGATGTATAAATCCTCAGCATTAGGATGTGGAGTTCCTTTATCACGTAGCTGAAGCTCAGAGATGATCCCATCTATTTGCTAGAAACTTTCTGTGCCTTTCTTTAGCCATGGTCTTTAGACATGTATATTCTGCCCCTCCCCTCCGCTGTTGGTTCCTTTTATCCTGTCTTTCCCTTTCTCTGGATTCGTGCTATCCACGGCTACTTTCCTGAAAATTGTCCTCTGCTTTCCATCCTTGCCTTTGGCTCCTTCAGACCCTTTTTATAGTGTTAGGGCTATCGAGGTAGTCAGCTTGGAAGGCTTTGGGGGACAAAATATTGACTGTATCTGCTGGTACCTATGAAGCAGGACATTTGTGCTGAAGGCACCTTGGTAACATAGAGGGAATCGTTCATTAATTAAAAGACTTGCTAATTGCTGCTTGGATTGCTGTACAGAAAGAATGAAATGAGTTTGTAAAAGATGACAATTTGGGGAATGCATTTTTTTTGTTTAAAATATTTTTATTAACAGGTCCTAGAAAATGGGTTGCTTTTACTCTTGACTGTATCATCAACAATTCAATTGAGCTTCAATTAATGATAATATATGGTCTGGGATCCTTAGCTGGGCCCGACTGATGGAAGAGCTTTGTTGAATTTGGTGCAGGTGGCACTGTTTAATAAGCACAGGAAAGAGTGAATAATGTAGTGCTTGCAAAGAGAAGTAAATGCAAAATAGATCGCTCTAATTATGGCATCCCCCAGAAATGGAGACGCAAGCTGAAATGGCCAAGTAGCCGGGAAATTCCAAATAGTGTTGATTGCCCCCTGCCTTTTTACTTTCGGGGGCTGACACGGTAGCTTAAAAGTACATTTGGATGAGCTCATCTGACTCAACACAAGCACATATTCAAAGCCTGAGTATGATGACCTATCAGTGTTTGCCTTCACTGCCTAGAATACTTTACCAGATAGTAAAATTCAGCACTAAAACAGGGCCATCTGAACATTTCTTCCTGCAAGATATCAGCACAAGCTCATTACAACTAGCCTTCATATTTTATTGCAAAGTGTCAGCAGATTTTGTTTTTGGTTTTGTTTTGTTTGAATTTCTTTATGCCTGAGAAAAATTAGTCTACAGGAAATCAAAGTGTGAATACTTAAGCAAACAGAATTTCTCATATACCTGCAAGGGCTTGTAATGATTTTCATTCATGCAAAGATAATCAATGGGACATTAGTTGTTTTAATTAATGAAAGAATAAAAATGTTGGGGAGGGGTGCCAAGGGACTGGGCTTCAGCTGAAGCATGTGTGGGAAATGACTCATTCCTCACCTAAAGAGACAATGCCAACTTCCCAAATAGCAGTAGAGATTTGCTAATCAAACCAGTGGAAAGTTGGACTCAGGTGCAGGAGGCGTCCTGTTGAAAGTTCAGGGAGAGAGATGGTGGCCACACTGGGCATTTTTCCTCCCCTGCAACCTCACTGTTCCCCTTTGAAAACTACCACATCCTACATCATCTAGGAGAGGAACCGTCTGACTTCCTTGGAAGGTGCATTTTGTTCTGGGAGCCTCGTATGCTTTGTGATGGTAAAATAGTGCCAGTGGCTGAGAAGCTCAAATCCACATTCTTTAGCCTGGACCCAGGAGAGGCTGGGGCTGAATGGGCGTGCTAGACCTGCGGTGATCTATAAAGCAGTGGCTCCAGCAAGTGAGTAGAGAACCTTATCCCTGATTGAGGACCCTGGGAGGAGCCAAGTCCAGCATCTTTAGCTAAAAACTCCTTTTTGTTATGTAGAAATGTTTACCAAACCCACCTCATGTCTAGCCAGTGCTGGCTAGGAACTCCAGTACATGGGTATTAGTGTATGGGAAGCTCATAAAAGGTTTGTGGGGAAACCTGTGCTTAGAAATGGAGTTTAGGGGTGTCCTGCTCTCAGAGAAGGATGGCAGAGATGCCTTTGAAGAAGGGCTGTGATAGGAAAAACTGTCAATCTGAAATGCATGGAAATATGAGTTGTCAGCCAGTCAAGAGTTCATCTGCTTCCTCCTCCTACCCCTGTCCCCACTTTTTCCATACAAAATCTTTTGGATTCTCCTTTAAGCAAAATGTGGTTTCCTGTGTGAAGAAATTTGTTGCTGGTTTTTTTTTTTTTTCTTCAACCTGAAAGGCTTGCAGGGCAACCAGCTTAGCAAAATGGTCCATCCAGGACTGGGTATTATTCTTAGCGAGATTAAAAAGAAATGACTGTCAAGTTGGGGGAAAAAATGGCATCTTTTTGCAACAGTTACTTTTTTGGGGGGGGGGGGTTGCTTCCAGGGCAATTTACATCCTTGCATGGAAATTAGCTGTGAGGGGATGCAATTAGCTATTGTGTATTTTGTTACAATTGTTCTTTAAGAAAAATCTGATCTGACAGATTTATATTGTTGATAATGTGATTTAAGCAGAGCCTAGATACAAACTTTCACCACCCTAATCAATAATGGTAAATCCTTTTGCTGAGGTGAACAATCTCTGACCTAGTATTCATATTTCTTTTACCAATTCCCTGTAATAAAATTGAACATTTTGTCACCACTTTGAGAAACACTGCCAAACACCTTAAAACACATGTCACATGCCAGCAGCCCCTCATTTTCCTCCTCCGGGAGTTTCTACATCTGGAATCATAATCACAGATAAAAACCTTGACAAAATTGCATCTGAGCACATTCCTCTCTGCAGCCTTTACTTTCTCATAACATTTAATACAATATTAATACCTGCTACCGAAAAGCAGGAGGGAGGAAAAGGGCTGCCAACCTCCACGTTTCCTGATACATCATGTTCAAACCTGAAACTCACACTTCGTGTTTCATTTTAAGTTCAGTGCATTTAACAGGGCCCTAGAGAGAGAGCCCTGGTTAGTTCCCCAACCTGCTCAGCTGACGCCCAAGGAGGTGGTTTCAGAATTGTTCAGATTGCTGCAGGGAGAAGAGGAGGAGGAATTGGGCTCCTCTCTGCCTGCAACAGGCCAAGCCACTTATCTATTCTAGTGTCACAGACACAGGGTTTCTCTTCAGAAAGAACGAAGGCTCCACTAATTTTTATTGTCGATAGCAGTGATAAGCAGATTTTCTGTATAGTGTGACCAAGGCAATGAGTTGATTTCAGAAAGAAAGAGATATGCCTGAACTGATTTGCTGCTGACTGACAGCCTCTCACACCAATATAAAACACTCCCTGCTTTGCTGAATGAGGCCCACAAGCCTGGGAAAGGTAGCGGGGAGGGGGCGGGGGTGTCCTCGTTGAAGATACAGAGCTTTTCTGCTCTCCCTGTGACTCAGCCTCACCCCACCCTTTCTTGGAGATAACCATAACCCCGCATTCCTGTGCAGCGGCAGCGAATCACCCTTCCTCTGCCTTACAAACAGGAGACAGAGGTTAGAGAGAAGGGGAAAGTGCAGGAAACGTACACACTAGGGGCTTCCTGGGAGCATGCATGATACCCTGGAGATGGACTTCCCCATGTTGGTGTCTTTGTTCAGTCCCTGACACTCTAACTAGAATTGGGGTTGAGACAGACCAGGAGTGTCCCCATCCTTTACAAAATGTAAACCTCCAGGTTTTTGGAAGTGTTACATGGTAACCTCTCTAACAGCAGCCTCAGTGTAGAGGGGAAACACACACACACACACACACACACACACACACACACACACACACTTCCCTGAGCATTCCCACTGTGGCGAGGAAAGAGTATAATTTGCTGAATGGTGCAAGCAAGCCAGGAAGACAGAAGATGCTACACTTTACTCAGGGAATAGAGGCGGGCAACTGGCCCTGTGACTGCAGCCAACAGCTTTAAGAACACAGTCCTTTCTGCTTCAAGGTGGGGCGGGGTATTCTCGCCTCTTTCTTCTTTGCAGTTATTATTCAAGAGTCTTCCCCAGTCCCCAGCACCGTCCTCAGAGCTTCAGGCCATACACTGGCAGTGCGCAAAGGGGACCCCAGGCAGGAGGGTCTGGGGCCAAGGAGGGCGGCTCCCCTGCGCGGAATCCTTCCCTGGCGGCTCCCACATCCGGCGTTTTCCCTGCCGCCTCTCCCTCGGGGGAGACTCGGAAAGGCTGCAAAAATCTGGGCGCCCGCTCGCTCGCTTGTCAAGAAGCAAACTGTCTTCACATTCTCCAAGAGCAACATCCCTGCCTAGGAAGAGGAAGGAAGAGGCAAAATAAATAAAACCAGTTAATGTTGTAGTTAACTTGCAAATCAAGTAAATCTGTTGGTGCCGTATTTGAGAAATAAACCATCACAGCGTCACAGCAAACACACACTTCTGAACGTCTTCATTTTGATTTAATGGTATATCAGCGTCAACTATCGCTTCCTCTGCTGGTACACACGGCCTGATGCCGCGGGAGGAGGGTGCCCATGTTTATCACCGAGTGAGATGACTAATTACACCTTGTCAATCACCGGCTATGAAGACATAAAACCAGCGCGCACAATGAAGTAGTTGCCTGCAGCGTCAATTAGTTGGCGATTCTGAGGTTATTGCGTGGCCCTGCTTTGGCCGTCTCTAATAACGGGACAGAGCGCCGGGAACAGTGCACTGATCAATCACCCTCCTTCCGCGGCCGCCCCGCTCCCTCCCCTCTCCCCCGCCCGGCCCGGCCTCACTTTCTCCGGGCGGCTTGCGATTCCTCCCTCCGCGGCCCCGGCTCCTTGGCGCCTGCAGCCCCGGGAGTTCCGGGAAGTTTGCGCGCTGCAGCTCCGCAGCCGGCAGCCGGGAGCCCCGCAGCCTTCGGGGAGCGCCCGGGCTGGTGGCCCCTTTGTTGGAGGAGGCGTGGAGTCAGCGCTTTTGTTCTGAGTTAGTCACGGTGGCCGGCTGGAGGCTGCTACCTCATTATGCGCCGGGTCTGCTTGTCTGCGAGGAAGCAGATGGTGGGGAGGTAGACAGGGGCGAGAGTGGCCAGACCTGAATTCCGTTCACCTGTCACCTCCCACAAAAGGCAGGTTCGGGGGCCTTAGGGATTCGTGGCCCCTTTCGGGGGGAGAGGGAGGTCGAGGGGCCGCCGTTTCCGGCGCCTGCGAGGGTTCCGTACCTGTCGGTGCCCGCTCCCCCCACCCCCTGCCTTTCCCTTGGCTGCGGCATCTCGCACCGCGTAAATGTCACTCACGTGTCAGGATGTGTGTTTACAGCCTGTTCCTCTCCTTGTTTAGTCTCCGCGGACAGGGCTCAGCAGTTGCGCGACGTCTCCCGCTGCTGGGGGAGATTAGCAAAGTTACCGGCCTCTGGACCCCGGGGCTTGAGCGCCCAGATCCCTCCCCGCGGCAGGAGATGCGTTTGAGCCTCTTACAGATGGAGTGCGTCGCAGCCTTTCGCTGAGGGTTGAATAGAAAGCGCACGGGACAGGAATCCTGACTGCCTGGGAATCTGAGGTCTGCCCAGCGTTGGACGTGGGCTGCTGGTCCGAGAGGTGGCGACGGAATCGCGTGCCTATATGTACGGGGGAGTGGAAAGTCTCAGGGTGTGTTTCCAGGTTTCTAGAGCCGCCCGCGGCAAGAGTTGCTGAGTACGCCACCCCCCGCTCCCAGATCTTAAGGCAGCCCCTTGAGCTTCGAAAGATATCGTGTCCAGCCCTCCCGGGAACGGAGTTGCACCAAGGAAAAGCACTCTAGCGTCCTTATAAATTTTTTCTACCCCTTGGGCGACCTCCAGATGAACCCTGATGACTCTCAGATTGGATTTTCATTCCCTACTTTCTTTGAAAGAAAGTGCCCCAGATGCGTCAGTAACACATGCCTATGTATTCGTGTAGGCGTCCGCGTGCCTGCGCGCCGGCCGTGTGCAGGCGCCGAAGCACACGTCTGTGCGAACACACGGGCACGCGCGTTTTGGGTTTAATGGTCCTTCCCTCGCGTTGGGGCATCTGTACACATGCAGCATATACACACACACTTGTAACTTGAAGTTTTTTCAAATATGCAAAACGGCCTCGTAGAAGCACTCGCAGTGATTTCAGTAGAATGGCCTGAGCACGCGAGTGCAGGTTTAATGTGCAATTTACTATTTTGCAATTGCACCCCCCTTCCCCTCTCTGGACACTTATACGCGACGCGAATTTGTAGACCCTAGGTCTATAGTGATGCTGGCTGTGATTTTGCCAACAGAGATAAAATTCGTACTGGCCGTGTTTTTACCAACAGAGATGAACATGTGTATTTGCACACATGAACACAAGTTCATGTGATTGGGCATTACACGCATACATATATTTGTGTACACAGATATTTATGTGTGAAAGTAACCTGCACATGTGAAAAATATGATTTAGTGCCTCAACTCTGTATGCTGTGTGGTAAACCGCAGATCCTGGCTATTCACTTACCTGACCTGGCAAACAAGTCATTTCAGACTAACAACCCCCTTGTCCCCATTAGACGGAGCCAAACCTGCCTCCGAAGCAGACCCAGATGGAACTCTGACGTGCTTATTCCGTTTTTGTCTACGATCATTTTATTTCCCAAATCCCTCCCCACCAGACACCTGGATATTTCCCTCCAGTCCCCAGGACACTCTAGGGTGAGCCTGAAACCTGGAGGCTGGGGTGGCAGTGGGGATTTACCCGGCACACTAGGTTGCTGGCCCCTGACGAAGTGGTGAAGCCAGACAGATAAGGTGGACTCCACCTTCAGCCAGCCGGGTCTGAGGCATGGTGTGCCCAGTGGACAGGAATGGGCCTGTGGATTTTAAGAATCTCACTGTTATCAAATGTATGTCGGAGTGAGAAAGTTTTTAATGGAAGAGGAGAAAGAGGGAATGATGAAATAATTTGATAAGTGCCTATTATGTTCCAGGCATTTTACATCCATAGTCTCTTTCGTTCATCACATCTATGTGGAGAAGGCCTCGTCTCCCACTATAAAGGTCAGAAACAGGTTAAATGAGGATAAGTCACTGTCTAAGGTTACAGTGCATATAAATGGCAGAGCTAGGATTCGAACCCTAGCCTTTCTGAGTTCCTAAAGCCATTCTCGCCCCCACTCTTCCAGGCTGGGGAGGCACCGGGAAGAGCGAGAAGAAGCTACATGCTGGGCTGCAGATTGGGCCCTAGCGGGCTTGGAGAGTGGATATACTGGCTGGCCCCCCTCCCCAGGAGTCACAGCTCTCGCCGGTCTCGCCTCTCGGGCTCAACCGAGTCCCCAGGAGGCCTGCACGGCCGCCTGCAGCCCGCTGTGCAGAGCCCGGGCCGAAGGCGGAGCTCGATGGGAAGCGGCCGAAGGCTCTTGCAACTCTGCCCCAGGCCTGCCTTCCCCGGCCTCCCAGGCGGGTGCCTAAGGCCGCAGCTCCAGGCCGAGGGGAGACCGCAGTGAGACCTCCTCGAGCATCCCCTGGCTGCGCCTTCTTAGGATAGAGGGTTTAATTTTCCTTTCTGAAGATATCGCAGGAAGCTGTTCGTATCTTAAAAACTCCAAACCCCGCGCTCTCCCTCCTGCCTGCCTCCCCCGCTTCCCCGCCCTCCAGCCTCGCCCACCAGCTCCCACCATCTCGACTCGACTCTGCTCCTCTTGCCTCTCCCCTCCCTCTCGGGTCTCCCGCCTTCCCGGAGCACGCGCTGCCAGGGCCTGGGGCGCCGAGCGGCCAATGGAGCGGCGGCAGGACGTGATGTCAGGCGCGGCTGTAGAAAAGGCGCGGAGGCTTGCGCTGGCGCGGACTGCAGAGCCGGGGCTGGGCTAGGCGCGCGCTTGGAGAGCATTGCGCGCGGCTGGGCCCGCGGCCGGCGGCTCCTCCTCCCACTCTGCTCCTCCTCTTTTTTCTCCTCCTCCACCTCCTCCTCCGCCTCCTCCTCCTCCTCTTCCTCCTCCTCTTCAATTCTCCCGGTGGCTCGGCTCGGCTCGCTGGCTTCGGAGAAACCCCTACTCTAGTCGCCGACTCAGCGCCCAAGAGGGTTGCCTTGGGCTGGGGGAGCACCCCAGGGAGGGGTCCAGGCAGCTGGGCAGTCGCGGGCACCTAGCGTCTTCTGGGTGAACCCCGACTGCAGCCGTCACCGCCTCCGGCAGAGTTTGCGCCCCTGCTTTGCGCCCCGGGCGCCGAAGCCGGGCAGGCGATGCCCGCGGCGTGAAAGCGCCCGCGGCGGGCACCGACCTCTGCCCTCTTCTCCTGCTACCCCCTCTTGCCTCGTGCCCTTGTGACCCTGGCTTTGGCGCCGTCGCCCAGGCGCCCCGCAATGTAGCTGCCCCCGAGCCTCGTCGGGAGGCGTCCTGGCCCGCAGGCGCCCGGGGCCCGGAGCCCGGCCTGGGGGCGCAGCCGAGCTCGGGCGGGGCCGGGGCCGCGGTGGCGATGCACCGGGCCCGTTAGCGCCAGGAGCGCCAGGCAGCTGAGGCGGGGGGCAAGCCCTCCCTCGGAGGAGCCGCGCCCCCGGCCCCGCCGGTCCCGCCGCGATGCTGTTCCACAGTCTGTCGGGCCCCGAGGTGCACGGGGTCATCGACGAGATGGACCGCAGGGCCAAGAGCGAGGCTCCCGCCATCAGCTCCGCCATCGACCGCGGCGACACTGAGACGGTAGGCACGCGGCTGTGGGGTCGGGGCTGAGAGCTGGGATGGGGCCGGGCCAGCCAGCGCCTCTGTCCCTGAAGTTTGGGGAGCGTCCTTCGTGCCGCACGGGACTGGGTGCTGGGGATCCTCGGCCTGAATGCAAGGCCGGTGGCTCCCGGCTCCTGGGAAACCGGGCTACTGGGGTAAGAAGGGAAACAAGGTTGAAACCGAAATCTCGGCCTCCGGGAGTGGAGGAGAGCGTTTCTTCCGAAGTGGAAGCCAAGTCCCATCCGCGGCCCCGGGCGGCGGCTCCCTTCTCACCTTGCTGGGCGCCGGGGTCGACAGCCCTGCGCTCTTCTCCACCTCTCGGCTCCAGTTGCTGGCCGCGCCGCGGGCGGCGCCAGGGAAGGGCGAACCAGCCCGGGCTCCAGCCGGCTCGGGCCGCTCCCAGCTTCCCGATAATCGGGGATCCCCTTCGACCCCCAGCGCAGTTTCAGAGGCCGAAGTTCCTGGCCAACATTTGTCGTTGATCGCGTTCCCACAACCCTTGACTGGTCAGACTTAGCCAGGCCAGGGCTCGGAGTTTAGGCTCCGGCCTGGCCCTCGCCGAAGGAGACTCCGTTCAGATCTCTACACCTGGCTCTGCGGGCCCAGCTCCAAATAGCCAGTTCCTTGCCTCGGACCTCCCTGGGGGCTAGACGAGCAGACACTGCCCGAGCAGCAGGCCTAGAAGTGACCTTTAGGAGGCCGCGGAGGTGGGGAGCACGGGAGAAGCTTCTCTGCTCCGGGAGCGGGAGCAGCGGCCTCAGTGGCCTCCGGGCCTCGGAGCCCTTCTTCCTGGGTTAGATCTTCCCTGCTGGTCACTTTGGATAGGGGGGGATTTGGGTCGAACCTGTCCTACACCCAGAGACATCGAGGGTGTTTCTGCACCCCATTCACCATATTCCTGGACCCAGGCCCGGCGGCAGAGGAGCCAGAAGTTGCCTGACTTGTCCTGGCCTTACTGGAGCTGAGGCCCAGGAACTCTCCTGTCTCTCCGAAGAGGATTCTGTGTGGAGGGTGATTTAATGGTCACCTTACCCCCCGGGTTGCTCATTTAAGAAGCAGTTTGGGGAAAGCTCTTGGAGAACTTGACTGGAGTAGCTGTCCCGGTCCCTAAACACTGTCCGAGCATTTTGGGGGAAAGGACAGGGAGGACTGGAAGGGAGAGAGGTTAGCAGGAGAGCCTTTTAGGCCAGGAACCCGGCTTGGGCCAGTGGCCAGTTAGGGCTGCGCAGGCGGACCTGGGTTCCGAGCTGCTAGGAAATGGAAATGGGCCTTTTGGGGTGGGGGAAGTGCATTGCACGCCCTGGCAGCCCCCTCAGCGTTCTGGGCAACCGAGGCCACAGAGGGAGCTGTGGGTGCCGGTTTTCCGGCGGCAGTGGTGGGGCGCTGACTGACGCAGGCGCTGCCGTCTTCCGCCTCCCTCCCTTCGCAGACCATGCCGTCCATCAGCAGTGACCGTGCTGCGCTGTGCGCTGGCTGCGGGGGCAAGATCTCGGACCGCTACTACCTGCTGGCAGTGGACAAGCAGTGGCACATGCGCTGCCTCAAGTGCTGCGAGTGCAAGCTCAACCTGGAGTCGGAGCTCACCTGTTTCAGCAAGGATGGCAGCATCTACTGCAAGGAAGACTACTACAGGTAGCCCCCACCCAGTTGCCCCTCAGGACCCCTCCCCCCACTCTCAGGCACAATCTTGCAGTTTGGCCCTCTCCTATCCCTTTAGTCCCAGGAGAGGGTTCACTACTCAGGACTGCCCCGGCCCCAGCTTCTCCAAGCCAGAACCAACTGAGTGATAGCCTTTTAAAGCAGCAATTTGGGGAGCCCTTGGAAAGGTCTACAAAGTATGGGAACCAGAAAAAAGCAGAAGCTGCCCTCCCTTTTGGAACTTACACCATAAAAAAGCTTGGGTTGGGATTCTTGCTCCTCTCTTTGAAGTTTCTTGAGTTCATCTGAGGTTGTAGAAACAGGCACCCCCAAACCTAGGCAGCCCAAGCCGGTGTGAAACTGTTGGAAGGAGAGCTGTGGGAGTGGGTGCATTTCCGGGTCTTTTGAGAAAATGGGAGTGAAAGCTGGCCAAGATCAAAGAACCAGAATCACTAGCAGACTCCGAGTTCCCTGTTTCTCCTTCTCCCCAGTTTTGGGCTTAGGGTCTATGTATATTCTCTCTGCCTCTGTTTCTGCTGCTGTATCTCTCTCTTTCCCTGCCTGTGTTTCTTCCAAATTACAAGTCAGTGGGATTCCCAGATGCTGGTTTGGAGGGAGGAGTAAAGGTTGAAGAAGGGGTTGGTGGTGAGTTTCTCCCTCCACCTCTAGGGAAGGGCTTTCCTAGGGCTTGTGGAGACTTTGGGTGAAGTAGAAACCTTTGTAGGCCTGAGTGTGTTAAGAGAAACTATTTCAGGACAGGACCAGGCTGGGTCAAATTCTGGTTCACTCTCCCCCGATCCTCCAAATAAAGGCCGGCTTGTCCATCTTGAGGGAATTGCCCCCCCCCCCCCCGCCCCAGCAGCAGTGGCACCTGGATGAGGAAAAGGGGGGTACCCAACCGTATGTCCCCACAACCCCTCCCTCCATGGTCCCTACAGGCGGTTCTCTGTGCAGCGCTGCGCCCGCTGCCACCTGGGCATCTCGGCTTCGGAGATGGTGATGCGCGCTCGGGACTTGGTTTATCACCTCAACTGTTTCACATGCACCACGTGTAACAAGATGCTGACCACAGGCGACCACTTCGGCATGAAAGACAGCCTGGTCTACTGCCGCTTGCACTTCGAGGCGCTGCTGCAGGGCGAGTACCCCGCACACTTCAACCACGCCGACGTGGCAGCGGCGGCTGCTGCAGCGGCAGCAGCCAAGAGCGCAGGGCTGGGTGCAGCAGGGGCCAACCCTCTGGGTCTTCCTTACTACAATGGTGTGGGCACTGTGCAGAAGGGGCGGCCAAGGAAGCGCAAGAGCCCAGGCCCCGGTGCGGATCTGGCGGCCTACAACGCTGGTGAGTGTGGAGCGCACTGAGCGCCCCCGTCGGGTTGGGGGAAAGTGTGGGGCAGCGACGGCTGGGAGCTGGAGTGAATCTCTGTGTGTTGGGCAAATAGCCTGAAGTACCGGATGGCCTCACCGAAGGGCCATTAGCCCCCTGGGCTTACCGCCTGTGCGTCCTCATACTCGTCCTCGTCCTCGGCCGGAGCAGGAGGAGAGAGCGTAGTCCTCCCTTGCTGCCCGGGTGCAGGGCCTTGTCGCTGAGAAATTTTTTTGGAGATAGCTTTTTGGTTTGGGCCTTTGCCCCACTTTGCTGGGCAGAAAGTGCAGGGATGGAGAAAGCAAGGCGGCGCCGACACCAAGCAGGCTCTGGGTTGGCGCGGCTGAGGGCGGGGAGCTGGGCCAAGGAGGAATAAGGCAGGGCTGCGAGGGTCCTAAGAGAAAGGGCTGGCGGTGGCCGGGGGTGTGCAGCCCTACCGCGTGAAATGTCCCAAAGGGCGGCAGGCTTGGGGAACTCAGAAAAGCAAAGGCAGCGGGTTCTTTTGCTCGGCCCGATCTGCCTTTAAGCCGGTCTCAGTCCGTCCCCCCCCCTCCCACCCCCTGCTCCTTCCTCTGAGTTCCTGGCGCCTGCTGGGGTGACGGCCTCGACCCTTGGAAGCGGGCGTCCAGCGGGGACCAGACCGAAGCAGGCCTGGCCTCGCGCCTCGCCGGAGTGGGGTGGGGAGATGTGGGGGGACTTGGTTCGGATTTCCGGCATCTTTGAACCCCAGGCCATTCCCGGAGTAGCTCTGCCCCCTCCCGTGTCCCTCCCTGCTCAGGACAGCTGCAGAGGTTTTGAGTCCCAGCAACTGAGCCGTCAACATCTGCCCGAAGTCTGCAAGGCCGGGAAAGGTTTCTGACACTCCGGGCTTCCGAACTAGAGTTTATTTGCAATTATTTTCTTTCTTTCGTTTGCAACAGAATCAGATTTGGCGATTTTGTGTTGTTCCTCCTTTTCCCTTTAGTCCAATGCACAAGCGGAAAAACAAAACAAAACAAACAAACAAACAAAAAAACCCAAGACCGTGCAGACAGGGCCGTGGCGGGGAAGAAGTCAGTTATTTTCATCTTAAAGAATCTGAGTTAAATGGGGAGGGAAATGAAGGGCGGGTGGGGGTGTACCCTGTTAGCTCCAACGAAATCACGGGTTGGGGATCATGGGGCATGCGTCTCGGTGTGCAGAACTGGGGGTAAACGCAGCCCCCAATTTGATAAATGGTGAAGCAGCAGTAGGCCGGTCGGTGGCGCAGATTTAAGATTTGCTGAAGGCACTACCACAGATGTGGCTCTGGAACTTCTGTTCCTCATATCCTACCACCCGGAAAATGAATCGAGTTTGGACCCGCTCCCCCTACACCAGGCCGATTATATTTATCAAGTGGGGTCAACTTCCAGTCTGAAGCACCTCGCAGGGCTCGCCTCCCGGGCACCTGGTAGCTGGGGAGCGGTATTGTTTTCCTGGGCACGCAGGTTCCGCGCCAGGTTTAGAATTGTGTGAAAAGAGAGTAGAAGGTACAGAGATTTATTTGTGCTTTTTGCTGCTCAGCCGTTTTCCCCAGCGAGATGGGCTAGAGACTGAATTTCAAGCCTTGTTGAACCTCTACAAGAGACATCCCCCACTCAGCCATCTCACTTTCTCTTGGGCTCCCCTGTTTTTCTCCTTTCTGCTCTCCGTCCTTTCTATCTCTTTCACTGTGTGTGTGTGTGTGTGTGTGTGTGTGTGTGTGTGTCCCTGTTTGTTCCCATACCCTCCTCTCTGGCCTGGGCCGGGGCTCCTTAGTCCTGGGAGAAATGTCGTTCAATGCACCGGTGGTGGCTGTGCTGCCGGCTCCTTCGGGGCTCCCGGGACTAGGTCAGGGGAAGAAAACATCTCCTTGCGGGGCCCAGCCCGGCCTTCCCAGGTCTGGCGTCCGCCCTTCCCTTCCCTCCCCTCCGGCACTGGCAGGAGAGGTATGGCTGCGGTGTGGGCCGCTGGGCAGCTAGGGCTGGAAAGTGGGGACCCTGGAGGGTGCGATCGCGTACGGGGTGTGCGGGCGCTGGTCTTGTGCGTGTGCGTGCAGGGTTCCAACCGCGGGGGCACGAGCTTGTTTGTGACAGTGTCCCACATCCAAGGGCCCAGCCACGCCGACCAGTTGCAAAGCCTCTTGCTCTAGGGACAGCCCCTCCCAGGCGCGGCGGCACCTTCCAGAAGGGCGGGCGAGCTGGGGGCCGAATGGGGAGGGGGCGCCGTCGGAGTGCGGAGCGCCCTGTTTAGGGCAACGCCGAGGGTCCGAAAGTCCTTCCGGGGCGGGGCCGCAGCGGCCTCCTCCCGCAGCCCCGGGGCCCCGGCCCTGGGGGAACGGAAACCTCCCGCCACCCCCGCGGGGCTGTCGGCGGGCTGGGGGCGCGGGAACAGAGGCCGGAGCAGGCGAGGGGCCCGGGCCGCGCTCTTTGCGCCGGGGTTTGCGCGCCGCGGCCGCGGGAGTCCCGCGCGGACCGGCCGGACGCACGGCCTCCCCCAGCCCCAGCTTTTTGTGTGTGTGTGCCTGGCGGCGTAATTACTGATTTGATTCCAATCCATTATTTAGACAATTGAACCTACAATCTCGTCTTTAGTAAAATGAGGCGAAGTCAGATTTGATTACAGGTTCAGTCCCAGCGACAAGAGCTCGAAACCCGATGGGTTAATAACAGATCACGAGTAAATTATTCATGATTTTACGAGCTCTTTAGCTCCATTGAATCGGCCTAATTGAGAGGAAAAAAAAAAGAGAGAGAAAGCCCGGGTCCTCCCCCTCCCCTCGGCCCCTCGCTCCTTCCCGGATCCGATCCTGGGGAATCTCGACCCGGCCCGGGCACTGGGGGCGGGAGTGAGGGGGTTCGGGGCGCCGGCCAAACCTGGGCCCCACGGCTGCCTCCCCCGCCGCCGCCCCCTGCCCTCGCCTCTGGCGGGCCTCGGCCTCACTACCTAGGGACGGCTCCTTTCCTTTTTTCTCCATTCCCCTTCTTTCCTCTTTTGACCAACTCCCCCAACAGTCACGGCTTCGGAAACGGCCTCCCCCGCAGGGACAGGGTCTCCTGGAGCCCCGGGATTCAGCTCGGCAACCGGACCCTCGCCACAGGCTGCCCCTGTTTCCGGGACTCGCTTTCCCCTCAGCTCTCACTGTCTGTTTCTTGGCTGTCTTTGTAGCTGTCTCTCTCTGATTTTCCTGCTCCTTCGCTTTCTTTTCCTCTGCCTCTCCTCTCTTTTTCCTGGTTCTGTCCATCTTCCCTCCCTACTCCCTCTCTCTCCCTCCATTCTGCCTTTCAGTGTCTGTCTTTTTCTCTCCTTTCTCTGCCCTTTCTGTCCTCCTCCCCTGAACCACTTCCCCCACCTAGGCGGCACTCAGGGCAGGTCCCTTGGGCCCAAGGGGCCGTCGGGATCCCCACGGAGCTCATTAACAGCAGCCAAGCCCAGGTGGGGGCTGGGTGGAGGGATGGGCCCAAAGATCCCCCGTGGGGAGGCCTGCCCCACCCCCAGTGGAGCTGGGAACTGGGGGAAATAAAAGGGTTGCTCACCTCCGTGGGTTCCAAGCAGTTCTGGTGGATCAGGTTCAGAGGCATCCTCTGATCCCCTTTAAATTGCAGGACCCCAGCTCTTCACTTCGGGCCAGCTCTCTGTGGGAGTGCAGCCCCGGGGGTAAGGGGACCTGGGGCAGGTGGAAAGAGGCCCTTAGGAGGTGTAGCCCCTAGCTAACAGCTCCAAAGTTCTGGGCTAGACCAGTGTATTGCAAATTCTCTCTGCAAGGGGCTATTCCACACCTGGGCAGGGGAAGGGGGAAGTCACCAGCAGAGTAAAAGTTCTTTGGAGGTAGTGTGGCCAGATAAAATGCAGGACCCCTAGTTAAATTTGAATTTGGGGTAAATTCATTTGTACACAAATACATTTTTTAGTGTAAGTGTCCTGAGCAATATTTATCTTTTGGATAAATAACGAATAAATTTGAAATTTGTAGTATAAGTGTCCCATGTAATATTTGAATTTCAGATAAATGACAGTATTTTAGTGTAGCTATGTCACCTGTAGTATCTGAATTTTAGGTAAACAACAAGTACAATTTTAGTAGAGGTATTTCCCGTGTAATATTTAGGGCAGGCTTATACTAAAAAAATCATTGATTATTTATCTGAAATTTGTATTTAACTGGGAAAACTGTATTTTCATTTACTAAATCTAGAACTCTGTTGTAGATACATGATAAGGGCACAAGGTATCTTCTCAGTTCCCCACTTTAGGCGGACTGCATGTGCGCCTCTTATGAGTCTTACCCCAAGGCAAGACCTTAAGTGTTGGTGCCCACATCTCCAGAGGTTACGAGGGGATCTTGGGAGGGGTCCTGCATGACCCCATCAGCTTCCAGGGGGCCGAGCAATTTTCTGAGGCCCACGTTTTCAGCCTTATTCCCCAACCCCAATGCCAGCTAGGTATTGGCAGCCTGGCCCCTGTGATGCCCCTTGTGGGTAGGGACAGGCTCCCTCTTCCCTTTGTGGTGTAGTGGAAGAAAACGAGAAGGACTCCAATGCTGAATCCAGGCTCAACAGATTAAGATCACTCTAGTCAGTTACAGGTGGTGTGGCTGTGGGCAAGTGGCTTCATTTCCCTTAGCTTTAGTTTCCATAGCTCTAAAATGGGAAGAGTGATAGCCACCTCTCTGAGTGGTAATGATGTACAGTGACATTTGTAAAGCCAAACACATACCATAGGTGTCTACTGCATGTTTATTTCTTCCTTGGACTTCCTTCCGCTTCCACTCTGCCACTCTGTCGACTGCAGCAGGTCTCTGAACTTCCTCGAGCCTAATTTGCTCCATTTGTTCCACGGGAAAACAATCGTCTCACAGGGTAGTGATGAGGGTTAAACTGCAAAATGCAGCTTCCAACCTCTGGCCCGGGGGTGCAGGGGCCTTCAGTACTTTCGGGTGTGTTGAAATGAAAGTGAGTCTCTTTCTCAGCAGTTTCTAGTGCCAGTCCCAGACGCGGTAGGGGGGAGATGGTAGAGAGCACTCATCCTTAGGCTGCCTTGGGAAACAGGAGGAGTGCAGGCCCAGAGACCTTGTCCTGCTGTGTCCGAAGTCAAGAGACTTCCCTTGCTGAGCCTCTGTTTCAACATCTATAAAAAGGGGAAAATAATACCAGGTGCTCCTTGGATTGTTTCCCAATGAAAATGTGCCTGGAAAGCCTTTTAACTCATCATCTGGAGTCCAATCAGCCATCAACAAGTTGTAGCTGTTGTGGTTGTTACTGCTGCTGCTACTATTGTTTTTATTATCATAACACAATGGCTCAGAATGATTTTGGGTTTCTCCTAGAGCTGGGATTCAGTGCTGCAGTTCCTAGCAGAGTGGTCCTGGGCGATTGCTCTCTCTGAGCCTCAGTGTCTCCATCTATAAAGTGGGGATAATGTCTCCAGTTCGTTATGGCTCAGATATGCGGCAGGATTAAGGATAGAAGTGTTTGGCAGCAGGTGGGGAGAGTGTGGATTTGGCATGGGGGGGTGGGTCAGGAAGTTCACCACGGTTCCCGGCCGCCGTCGGCTGTGTGTCTCCTCCCTAGCGCTGAGCTGCAACGAAAACGATGCGGAGCACTTGGACCGCGACCAGCCCTACCCGAGCAGCCAGAAGACCAAGCGCATGCGCACGTCCTTCAAGCACCACCAGCTTCGGACCATGAAGTCTTACTTTGCCATTAACCACAACCCCGACGCCAAGGACTTGAAGCAGCTCGCGCAAAAGACGGGCCTCACCAAGCGGGTCCTACAGGTCAGCCGGGGCCAGGGGTGGGGCCGGGGGGGGGGGGGGAACCACCGGGGACTGGGCTGGAACCCTGCACCCCCCACCGTGGGCCTTGGAAAGCTTCCACCCTGTATCTGCTTCTGTTTATCTTTCTCATTCTCTTTCTTCACCTCTCCCTATCTGTATTTCGGGTTTCCCCCCTACTTTGTCTTTTCTCTTTTTCAGTTTTTGACTGTTTTTCTGTTTGTGTTCCCTCCATCCTCTTTGTCTCGATATTTGGTCTCTTCTCTTTCTGGTAAACGATTTTTAGTTTCTGTTTATTATTCAAGTGACACTCATTTTACACATGTTCGTGTCATAAGAGGTTCAAACATGTCAGATAAATCTAGAGGCCGCCCACCCCTTCCCAGGACGTCCACCCAAGGTGACTGTCGTTAGCGCCTGCTTCTTGCTTCTCATCCACTCTAGTTTCTCTTCTCTTGCTGTCTGCCTCTGTCTCCCTTCCCGCTCTCTCTTCCTTCAGGCATCTCTCTAGATTTATCTTCTGCCTCCCAGACTCTCCTGGAAGCACGGTTTGGTGGTGGGAGTGTGTGTGGGCAGATTCCCTGGGTGGGCAGGTGGGGGCAGGGCTCACCTGGCTGGGTCTGCCCAGAGGACATGATGGGGTGGCAGAGTGGCTGAGTGCCTGTGAAACAGCAGAACTGCACTTACATGTGAGGGTACTTTCTTAACAGAGGAGATCCAGAACTTTCACTCGATTTCCATAAAGATGTTAAGAACCCTAGTCTGAGGGCGCAGGGGGAGGTCCCAGGCTCCTGTGTGACCCAAAGTTGTGGCAGAGCCTTGGGCCACAACTCAAAGCGTCAGCTCCTCCTTGTACTCATTTTAGGGTCTTAGGCAAGTCACTTAACTTTTTGGAGCCTCAGTTTCCTCATACATGAAATGGATACAATAAATTATGCCTCGGGGTTATCTGAGGAGCCACTGAAATGACATGAATATGGCGTGACCTGACACGTGCTCAGTGGATAGTAGCCAATAATAGCATTAACTAGGTTCATTAGCTGGCATGAATTCATTAGTATGAGCAATTATTCTGGTACCTGGACCTCAGTTTCCCCATTCGTACAAAGAGAAGGCAAGACGGTGCCTCCCTTTATAGCAAGTTTAAGCAAAGCAAGTTAACCAATTTATTCTTCAGAACGTGTGGTTATAGTGACAGCGACACACATTTTGAGGGAAGGAAACAGAGGGATGAAGTGACCGGACAGTCTCAACAGGAGGGGAGTTGGTGGGATTCGAGCAGGCCAGTCTAACCCACCCTCCAACTCCAGGTCTCCAGGGCTGAGGGCTGGGAGGAGGTGACAGAGGGGTTGAAGGAGACGGAGGGCTGCGCAGCGGCCCTATGAAGGTTTTTTCGAGTTTGTCAGAAATTACAAAAAAAAAAAAAAAAAGCCTTTCATGGGGCAGGTTGAGGCTGTGTCAAGGCGCAACCGCAGCTGCAGCTGCCGGAGGAGCTGGGAGTTGGGGACTCTAGGCTGCCAAGGCGCCCCCTGGGTAGCTGCCCTGGGGGAGCGGGCGAGGGGCTGCGTGCGAGGTAGGACTGGGTGACTTAGCCGTGGTAGGGAGCGCTGGCCAATGGGACGCCGATGCGCCTCTCTGGGCCCGCCCCTCCCTCGGGTCCTTTTTGCAGGCAGCGTCAAGTCCCACTGCCATGGGCTTCTGGTGGGGTGGAGGACATGGCTACACCCGTTGGGGTAGCAGATCCCGCTCGTGTTTCCTTCCTTCTTTGCCTTCTTGGGGTTATTAGGTCAAGGACCCTCTGTGGCGTCCCCTCCCTTCAGCCGTGGGTGAGTTCCGACTGAGGACTTGGGGTTGGGTGGCCTTTTCTCTGGTTGGTAGGACCCTTCCTCCCTCACCAACCCAGATCCTCTGTGGCAGGGATGTCCAATCTTTTGGCTTCCCTGGGCCACATTAGAAGAGGAAGAACTGTTTTGGGCCACATGTAAAATACACTAAGGTGAACAATAGTTGTTGAGCTAAAAAAAAAAAACTCAATGTTTTAAGAAAGTTTATCAGTTTGTGTTAGGCCACATTCAAAGCCCTCCAGGGCATAGATAAGCTTGCTCGATGGAGTGGGGTTGGGGGAGGGAGGGCAGTTCTATGAATTAATGCTTGAGCTGGTGACAGAACTGGGTTCAGGAAGATCTGGGCTGGGTTCACTGGCTGTGTGTCTTAGACAAATTAGCCTCTCTGAGCCATAGATTTCGCATCTGTAGAAAAGGCACCATTAGGGCACAAACCTGTCTCAGTTATCCAGATTAAATGAAATGAAGAGTAAGTACCCATGGTTGAGTTGGAATCTCCAGTGAAGAGCCAGTCTCTGCTGACCTTGGGGAGTTGGGAGGCTTGGTCACCTGGTTTAGGAACAAATCAGATTTCCAGGAGAGTTACCTCTTGTTCTTTAATCTGACGAAATGCGTATTGGCACCAGGCCCTGGGGACACAGAGATGAACAAACCACAGTCCTGGCCCTGAGGAAATTCACCTGTTAGCTATAGAGACAGACCCATGTATAGTGTCCTCATGGTGTGATCAGTTGGGGCACATACTGAGGGACCCCAGAGGAGGAACCAGCTGCTCTGTGTGCCAGGCATCATGATCCCTCTTCCCCACTGTCCAGATGAAAACACGGAGGCCCAAATGATCTCCACTTGCCCCAAATCACACTTTGCTGGTTACCTGCAGAGCTAGTTCCAAATCCATGCCTGTCTGATCAGCGGACATAGTTCTTTCTTCCTTGAGCCAATCTGGCAATGACTGTCTGAATGTGAGTATCATTTAGGATCTGTATGTTGGGGGCAGGCATACCTGTAGCACTGTTCTCCCTTTTTCCCAGACCACATTTGTACAAATTCCAAATATTCCCCATTGTACATGATGATACAGCAGTTTACAAAGCATTATCTTTCATGCCACTTAGCTACCTTACCTTAATATTTTTTCTGCCCATTTTACAGATGAGAAGTTTAAGACCTAGTAAGATGAGGTGATTTGCTGCTGGCTACAGGAGCCAGGCATTGGCAGTGTGGGGCTTGGTTCCAGGTGCCCTGACTGCTGATGGGGAATCTGGGTGACATGGGATGGAAGCAGTTTCAAGTGAGGCAATTAGTGGTATGGCTTTGAAAGGTAACAGACTGGTTTGAATTCTCTCTGACTTACCAGCAGTGAGATTTGGATGCTTTAACCTCTGCTCTCTGAGCCTGATTTCTTATCTGTGAGATGGGGATGAGAATGCTGTCTTACTGGTGGTTGCATGGAGGAAATGAGATGACATACAGTATCATTTACAAAGTACAGAGTCAGGACCCAGCCATGCTCATCTCATGCTCTCATTTACCCAGCACCGTTCAGTCTGCAACCCTCTTTGCACACATCTTAAAAATGCGATTATCTTCATTTTGCAGATGATGAAACTGAGCTCTGAGAGTCTAGGACCCTGGCCCTGAGTCTCACAGCTTGTAAGTGATGAAGCCAGGAGTCAAGTGCCGATTGGTCAGACTCCAAAGCTCTTTCCAATATTGCACGTGTAGGGATTGTGACTTTTCTCCCCTTGGATCTGGCTGCGGAAAGCAGCAGTACAATGGGAGAGGAGGGAAGGCACAGGTCACAGATGCCGTGTCTTGGTAGGAAAGCAGAAACCTCTGGTAAAGTGCTGATCACATAAAAGGGGCTCACATTTGTCATCAGCAGCAGCATGACAACTATAATACTCTATCAGTGGACAAGGTGACTAGGAGACAGAAGGGCCCCTTGGAAAGAGGTCTGTTAAGACTTTTAGCTTTATGAATGCATGGAGATCGTTTCTCAGCACATAGGAGTTGCTTTTCTTCCTTCCTGTGGAAGCACCAGGGAGGCAGAATATTAAGATGTGCTAAGCTTGAGGAAACGGGTGATGAGCTGATTGATTTGGGTGGGTGAAGGTCTCCTAGGGGTTCCCTGGTGTGACTTTGGAAGAAAATACATTTTAACCACCAACAGGTTAAAAATTATCTTTCAGGCTGGCGAGGTGGCTCACTCCTGTAATCCCAGCACTTTGGGAGGCTGAGGTGGGCAGATCAGTTGAGGCCAGGGATTTGAACCAGCCTGGCCAACATGGTGAACCCCATCTCTACTACAAATCCAAAAAATTAGCCGGGCATGGTGGTGCACTCCTATAGTCCCTGATACTCAGGAGGCTGAGGTAGGAGAATCGCTTGAACCCGGGAGGTGGAGGTTGCAGTAAGCTGAGATCGTATCACTGCACTCCAGCCTGGGCAACAGAGCATGACTCTCTCCAAAATAAATAAATAAATAAATAGCATCTTTCAGGTGACTAGTTGGTTGTTAGTAAACTGTGTGACAGTTTATGAGCTGAGAACTCTAGCTTTCCTCTGGCCACTCACCTGTTTGGCAGACACACTGACTTACCATGTGCCAGGGAGGGCTGGAGGCACTGAGGATTCAGTGGGGAACAAGACCGTGAACAAGGCCCCCATGGATGTCCAGCCCAGAGGGCATGTGGAACAAGACATGGGATAAACACTTGACATCGTGCTAAGATTAATCTCTGTATTTTTTTTAAATGATTCTAAAATCAAATTGATTAGGGAAAGGCTCAAGTTTGACTATGTCTTTCTCTTGGAGACCAGAGCATGTTAGCATTAATACAGGCATTGAGAAATCTGACAGAGACTCAACTTAGTCTAATCTAACATTTCCCAAATTTTATTTGGCCATAGAATTCTTATTTAACTCTTGAAATAAAATGGAAGACGTGCTAGGTAGGAAAAATACAAGGGTACAATGAGAGCATATAACACAGAGGCCTGACCTGCTGAAGGAGGTAGTCAGGGAAGGCTTCCCTGAGGAGGAGGTGCACTTTATACCAGGGCAGGTCACTTCGTTTCTTTGAACCTCCATTTCCCCACCTGTAAAGTAGTCTTTGTCCTGCCACCTAGGGCAGTGTCCTGGATGGTCTAAGCTGT